ACATACATACATACATACATACATACATACATACATACATACATACATACATACATACATACATACATAAGACCCTCCTTTCTACTTGGGCGATTAAACTGAATTTGATATTGTGGGAGGGGGGTGTGATAAATTGGGGTGGGGTGGGAATTGGGGTTCGAGGTTGTACTGGGTTTTGTGGGAGGAGATAAAACGACGAGTTTTGAATGAGTTAACTTTGAAAATTATAATTTACATGTATGTAATTAGTGAAATTTGTTGTGCGGTTCAAAGGTTATGATTCGAATACAATGCATGCCGGTAAAGCATGTATGTGTCTTCAGCAGGTTTTTTTCACTCACTTTGTTTCTAATCCCATCCACCTAATAGCGATGTGTTTGTGAATAGGGTGGGGAGGGGGCTAGCCCCGTGCCTGGTTGCTGACGTGTTTATGTGCAGCAGATGCTGTAATTACGGGAAGGTATTCATCACGCGCGCTAGGGGCGCTCACGTGGACGCACGCGCCCCGATAATGTGTCCAGTCATGCGCACATCGCGACATTGTTTAACCCAAACCCTAGTGGCGCCCCCTCCCCCACGCCCCACGCTTGATTTACGCTCTGATGTTCGGACACATAACTCATGTAAATTTGGGGGGGGGGGCATGTGGTTTTTTTTTATACGGCTAAGTATATGCTCTAATCTGTTTTAAACTCCCGCTGTGGATTGCATGGCACTCTAAGAAATGTAATAATATTTAATGTATGTAAATGTTTATGGTTTTATTTAATGAATATCGACTTTTAAAAATAAAATGTAGTTGTTTTAAAGGCAACACAATCGTGAATTAGAATAAATACAATTATTTTTTGTTGAATGTTACTTTTTTTAAAATTCAGTAGATGAAGCGCTCCCCAAAACATTTTTTTTCAATAAATTTTAAACTTAAAATATCCTACTAAATTATTATTAAGGAAAAGGGACGGAACTCGCCCACCTTCACAACACAGATAAAAAACGAATGCCTATATTCACCATTACGGGGACCTTACTAATGAACTACATTCACCATAGAATTACGTATACATACATTAACATATATATCTATTGTCTTCAGATACAATCTTGAAGTTAACGAAACATCAAATAAAACACTAAATGCTTTTAGAGTCTGTGTCCGTCGATTTAAAGAAATAAAAAAGAGACATCAGGACACTAGACCCAAACAACGTTTGAAATTTTTTCTAAAAAGTTTTCGAGCCTCGAGAAACATAATGACCGTTTTCTAGCCGGACTGGACGTAACGCATCCGTCTGATGGATGTTTTGCCGGAAATGGCAGAGGCTGTTAACACAATTTTTTTTTTTTTTTTTTTGGTGTTTCGGGATTTTCCGATTTGACTGGTGACATTGAGTTTTTGGTAATGTTCTGTTTCGTTTTAAAACCAAAGGGAAGTAACTGCCATTGTTTGTATAACTGTACCTTCTGATATTTGTATTGTCTTTTTTTTTATTTGCGTGGAGTAGGGACCGGTTTGAAATGTATTATTTCAACAAACCTTAAATTTTACTTTAATTTTTTTTTTGTAACAGTGTCTTTATTTGAATATTTCTAAAAAAAATAATAATTTAAAATGAAATACTTTTAAATGATCATCTCTTCGACTATCAACACATTTTTGTATACGCCCATGTCACATCCGGTACTCCATCAACACACATCCCCACCACTCAACTACCCCCCACCCCCCAAACCCCCCCCCCCCCACCAGGGTCCAGCACTCAATCCCGTTTAACGCGCCCCAATGACGTGAAATTGATTCGCGTGAAAGATTTATACACTCAAAATGTGGATCCTTCCATTTCACACCACTCCCCCCCCCCCAACCCCAACCACCACCACCCTAAAAAAATCGCGTCTCCGCCCCTGAGTTTTCGCCACCCTGCCATTACGTCGTCGTGTTGAAGGAGTGAGCACACGAAACGACCCTCTATACATCCTCATGCCTCCCTCTTTACTCCTCCTCCTCCCCTCCCCCCCCCCCCCCCACACACTCATACACATTTATAACACGTACGTTACTGAAAAAATTTCTCATTCCATTTTTTTTAACTATTTCGACTTTTTTTCCATTTCAGCTCTAAAGAAACAAATTAATTGCCTATTATTACACACTTAAATCTACACACTATACCAGATATTAATATCAAAGATGTATTTATATTTATAAATTGGGTCTCCCTCCCTCCCCCCCCCCCCCCCCCCCCCACACACACACACCACACCCATTCTAAAATTAGTATGTATTTTATTTAAAACGAAGTGAGTCGGACAAGATAGCCGACGAAAAACGTGTTTGCTTGGCCCTGAACTCTGTATTCTGCCCCACTCGCCGGGCCCTGGAATTAGCATTACAAGGAGGTGGGAAAATATTTTCTGTTGCGTTGGCGCGCTGAATGTGGAAACAGGGCCCGGTCAAGACAAGCCGGTTCCGGCGAATCGCTGCTTATGACATGTCCGGTTGATGTTGGGAATGGTCAATGATGCCGGTTCTTTTGTCGTCTGTTCTTGTGTGGTTTACGTGTTGATGGCTAGCTGACATAGGCGGGAGTGGAGTTGTTTTTTTTTTGGGGGGGGGGGTAGGGTTGGGGGGGGGGGTGTTTTTTTTATGTATGCTTTTGTTGACTGATCAACTTTATTGAAAATCACCTCAAAATTAGTAAGCCAACAGAAAATAATTTATGTTTCGCTGGATAAATAATGAAGCTTAACGATGGTAAAATAATAAACTGACCATAGGTAACTCAGCCCTTTACCCCCATCTCCTTCAATTTTCCTCCTTCCCCCCCCCCCCCCCCCCTACACACACACACAAGTAGTCAAAGCGGCATTTGTCTTTAGCCTCTGCATCATTTTCATAATTTCCAAAACTCCTCCGAAAAAAAAGTCCCCACCCCCTCATCCCTCCTTCTAAATAACATGGCTCAATATCCCTACCTCATAGCATATCCCCTCTCCCTCTTCTACCTCCCTCTCTTACCTCCCCCTCCCTCCTCTCCTCCCTCCATTCCTCCAGTGCAACTTTGATGGATGATCGAAGAGGGACGCAACTCGTCCCTAAATGTTATCACTAATGAACAGTCTCTCATTAGGGTCGTATTCAGGGAGCGTGATATGCTAATTAGGGCCGGTCGAGCCTCATCCATCTTTAATACCACCCCGCCGCCCCACCCCCACATTGTATAACAAATATCCCCTTTAAAAAATCTCCTCCCACCCCACCCTGTTTATATAATTCCCCACCCTTGACAAATATACAGCACACTTGCTCATTACACGTCATAGCCTTGAGTCCGAGCTTCTCACTCACACTTCCGGTCACTCTGCTATACCGGCTCCCGACCCCCCCCCCCTACCCCCACCCCCCGGGTTTCCTGCCGCCAAACGACCAATTGAACCATCTGACTCACACGTACCCAGATTGCATTGCGCGCTTCCCCTAGTGTGTAACGAAAGCCGACGATTGGAGAGATATTGTCTCTAATCTGAAATAAAACTTCTGTTTTTTGTTGAAATTATTCCACGGGAATTGCAAAAAGGGGCGTAACTCAACACAAAGATGTGGCCGCATGAAAATTGGGATTGAGACTATTTTTTAATAACAATTTATCATGGTGTACATTATATATCTATTCAACACTAAAACAGAAACCATAAAATCATAGCTTTTCAACTTTTTGTCTTCGCTACTTTTTTTTTTTTTAATTTGTCACACCGAGTAACATCACCTTCATAATTTATTTCTTTTTTACCCCACTGTCTTATACGTCAATTTTGAACCATCGGATCTATAAATAGACATACAACCCACAACTTATTATTGTTGTTAATTATGATTGTTTTCTTATTTTATCCACTCGACTTCTCACACATACACTCTTTCCCTCTTTCACTAATTTCTCTATCCATACTCCCTCCCAGAATACCAAGTTCACAATGTCAAGGTCAATATTTGTTTGCTCTCTACTGTAGATTACATAATACATCTTTAAAAAAAAACATGTCACAAAGAAAGAAGGGGGGTGAAAGTTAAAGTGGTAAAGAAGGGGGGTGGGGGTGGGGAGTCGGAACAGAAAATATCTCTTCTTGCAAAATGTATCTAATTTTTAAAATTTGAAGTATCTTCGGGTTAAATAACATAGTGGCCGCTGTTAACTCTCCCCCCCCCCCCCGCCAAGGTGTAAGCCAAATCGTGACCGTCGTTTCTGTATTTATCCCACATGTGTTGATCTATGGCCCGTGCCTCACACTATGACATGCCCGTCATGCGGCTCTCGGCCGTGTGATTGACATGTAGTGGCCTACTAAGATTGATGACGTAATTCCCCCGCGTGACATCTTCCGCATATCTCGCGCCAGCATTTGATCCCCCCCCCTCCCCCTCCCACCTCCTCGGGGTTTTAAGGCCCATCATTTAAATCGTGCGTTCTGTGATGAATCATAAATTCCATTTATATCAGGGAAATCCCGTAACATTTACTTCGACTTCGGGCTGGTTACTAGTAAATGAAAGTAACAATCACATTAACATTTCTTAGATATCTATCTGTTCCTCACATCATCTTCTATACAAAAGCTAACTCTCGACCCATTTGTTTAGTTGAATATCCCATTCTGTTCTAAAAAACTGCGCAAACGGAAGACTGCGCAATAAAAAAATGCGCAAATAGAAACTAACTATACGAATACACTTTAATTTAGTGGTAATTTCGTGGGGAAATGTTTTATTGTGTACATGTACAATGTACATGTAGTCATTCTTAGCTAACGTCTATAAATGCTCAATTTTTAAAAAAAAAATTCCCTTGCGCACATTTTTTGTGTGCAGTTTTCCTTTGCGCATTTTTCCAGTCATATACACATGCATAACTAATTTTGACCAATAATTGACCAAATGTTGACCAATAATTGACCAAATGTTGACCGATAATTGACCAAATGTTTACCTTCTATCTCCTCAGGTTCTCTGGCAGTCAGACCGGCTATGAGCTTGAAGTCAACTTGGGTGACCAGTTGGAGATTCTCTGCCCCTTTTATCCGGACAATTCAGTCCCGGTAAATCGGGAGTACTATCTCATCTATATGGTGAGTACATTTGTTGGTTGACTTGTGAGTACTATCTCATCTATATGGTGAGTACATTTGTTGGTTGACTTGTGAGTACTATCTCATCTATATGGTGAGTACATTTGTTGGTTGACTTGTGAGTACTATCTCATCTATATGGTGAGTACATTTGTTGGTTGACTTGTGAGTACTATCTCATCTATATGGTGAGTACATTTGTTGGTTGACTTGTGAGTACTATCTCATCTATATGGTGAGTACATTTGTTGGTTCAGCTGGTTAGATGTCAGCCATAATGTAATGATGGGACGGAGTGGTCTAGCGGTAGAGAGCTGGACTGCCAACCCGTAAGTGTCGAGTTCGAATCCGGGTTCAAGTCAGTAGACCGTCCCTGAGTCCACCCAACTCTGATGGCTACCTAACTCACGTTAGTGAAAGTAAGGCGGCTGGGCATAGTGCTGACCACACTATCTCTTCATATGCCGAGGTCACAGAAACAAGTGAAGTAGAGTTCACTTGCCCTATAGACCGTCAGGTTTGAAAAGGGAACTTTTACATAATGTAATGGTCCCTTTGTCCTACTGTACCTCACTTTAACCAAGTCTGCTACTTCGTTCTTAATTGTAATAATGAAGGGGATTTCTTTCAACAAAATTAAGTATTATGTCAACTTATGCACCATAAAGATTTACTTTCTAGATTTGCTTACATGGCCTAATCTGCATTTGTCCACCCAAAAATAATCTGCAAGGCAGCAGTAGATTTTGGTACATAAGCTGCTGTCCCCAGCTAGCGAGCCTCATCTGTCGCGGGTTAAGGATAGGCTTAGGGTTAGCTTTAGTGATAGGGTTAGAAAATATCCTGGATGGAATAAGGTCCCTTGCTTGGCTTTCTATCGAATGTCTATACAAAGTAGGAATTATTTATATTTCATTTCTATAGAATGCTTGGTTTTTCACTTCATTGGATATGAATAGATATAGATAGATAGATAGATAGATAGATAGATAGATAGATAGATAGATAGATAGATAGATAGATAGATAGATAGATAGATAGATAGATAGATAGATAGATAGATAGATAGATAGATAGATAGATAGATAGATAGATAGATAGATAGATAGATAGATAGATAGATAGATAGATAGATAGATAGATAGATAGATAGATAGATAGATAGATAAATAGATATATCAAGGCAGAAATTCTAAGAATATGCGGGGGGGGGGGGGGTAATTCCTCTGAAATATTGATATTGGGGAGAAGGTGGGGGGGAAGGGGTTATTTCCAAGATCCCCAGTCCTACCATTTACCTGGAAAAAGAAAAAAAAATTTGTAGTGTTTTTGTTTTTTTACGCACCAGTTACATCAAAGTTTATCATTTTTTTTTTATTATTTCCTTCAGGTCAACAAGTACAGCTACGACAGGTGCGTCATCAACGCCCTCCTGGGTAAGGGTGATGACGAAACAGCCATGATCCTCAACTGCTCCACCCCCGAATCCCGGAAGTCCTTCACCTTGCTCATCTTTGACTTCCAGCCCGTCCCCGGGATCTCAGACTTCAGGGTGGGGGAGGACTACTACTTTATATGTAAGTGCCTGGTCAAGTCGGTAGTTCACATCTATGCGAACTCGGATGGTGTGGGTTCGGATAACATCTTCGATCAACGATCGTTAATTATATTAAGTGGTGAATGAATAGCAAAAATAATTTCAAACCCTTAACATAATTTTTTATGTTGGTTAATTTAATGCTCTACAAATTTTAAGGAGTTTTGTGGAGTTGGCATTTTGTCTCAGTCGACTGCTTGGCTAAACTATGTCCATAAGTCATTGTATTATCTGGGTTGATTGAAATGTTTAATTAACTTTAATATGGTATGGCTAATGATTGTGTTTTCTTTAAATAGCTACTTCCGGTGGGTCTAAAAATAGCATGGACAACCAGTACGAGGGGGCGTGTATGAGGAGCCACATGAAGATGGTTATCAAGGTCAGGGCAAAGACAACGGAAGGTCGAGGTAGGTCAAGGTCATGTCTCTGTCTAGGGTTGGGTTGGGTTTGTATAGGTTGGGCCATCTGTTAACTTTGTATAGGTTGGCTATCTGTTGGGGTTATATAGGTTGGGTCATCTGTATCTAATTGCCTGTGTAGTACTCATTAACCCTTTCTAATACCTCACTGGCACTTTTCCCTATCAATAACAAATTACATCATAATCTTAATGACAGGTGTTGCTCAACCCCTACCCCCCCAAGTAATTTAAAAATATTTTTTCCCTCACACCCCACCCTAGTTTAGCTACCTTTATCATTACAGTTCTGATTATTTATCCTTTTTTTCTCTCCTTCCACCCCTACCCCCTCGCGACAAACAACTTTTGCTTTTTCCTCATTACTATGTGGCTAATAATGATCTATATTTTTCAATAGCTGACACCAATAACCAAAACACGAACGTTATTCAAGAAATGGTAACAACGAAACCACCTACCGAGCCGTCACCCTCAACTACGACCACAACGACAACCACCACTACAACAACTGTAACGGAGAAACCAACCACACCAACACCATACAATAATAAACCTACTGGTAAGTGAAGAACATGGAAATATTTACTTACTGGTCAACGGGAAGTAATCAGTATAATTCGTAATAAATTTAGGCTTTCCCTATTTACTTCCCTTTTTCTGGGTGCCATAGAAATGTTTGTGGTCAACGGGAAATAACCAAATAAATGATATTTTATACTAATACTATCAGAGTTGCTTCCCTTAATATTTTTTTTTCCATTTATTTTCTGCTAGACTTCTATGAACGGTGACTTTGAAAAACGAAAAGCAGAATTTTAAAATTTAAATATATAGTGTTTACACTGTTTTATATAATTATTTACAGAATATTTAGTCGTTTTCTCATTCAATAAAAAATCTATTTATTTCTATGTATTACAGTTAAAGGAAACGTTGATGATCCGATGCCTGGGTCAGATGGTTTTCCTGCTGATGAGATGGTGATAAAAGCAGGCGACAATTCCCAAATGAACTCAAAAGTTATAGGAGATGGGGACGGTATAGAAAATTCTGGGCTGTCCTTACACAACGGACAGATATCTTTATTTTCTTTCAGCTGTGCTTTAGTCTCCAGCCTGTTAGCGTCATTGTTGCTGCTTGTTCGGTAGTATTGATACGCTGTGCGCTGTATGTTGATGTGAAGGTGAAAGTGTTTGATATCATTCTCAACTGTTTGACTGGATGAAGAGCTGTATGCGAACGATGCCAGATGGCGCTAGTTGAATCCTATTCCATTTTTGTTGATCACATGACTTGGATGGTTCTATCATGCTGTTTAAAAAAAACCTTCTGTTTAGTATTCATTCCAATTTATGTACAATGTATTTGTAAAAAAAAAAAAAGTTTTATCCACATGTGGTTTATGAAACAGGAAAGTGAAAAATGGTTTAAAGTATAAAAAATTAGATTTGAAAACTAGAAAAAAAATGTTTAAATATTAGCAACTTTTTTTTTTTACATTTTGTTTGGATTTAAATTTTACTTTTGCCCGTTATATTTTTTTAATAGCTGAAACATGTCTGTTCTATGGAATATTAAATAGAGGAGGGAAAAAAACTACTTTTTTTAATCAAGTATGGAATTGATCATTTCAATATATTCTGGTGTTGTTAAATTAAGCATTAAGGCTTTTTTTTTAAATTCTAAATTGAAGGGGAAAAAATTTAATTTATTACTACTACAAAACATTATTTACTTCTAATATTCAGGTTAAATAATAACAATAATGCATAATTGTTAACTGACAATTCAGTTAAAATCAATTCTAAATATGCCATACTAATTCTAAAAGGCGTAACAAAAATATAATTTTAATCTGCTAAGATATATTAAGAATAATTATACTGTTTAAATTACGTCTTATTTTTTTTCAACTATTATTTCTGCATTATTCACTTAATTGCTTGCTGCACCTATTAAAATTTTAGTTTAATTTATTCAAGAAATTTTTAATTGATTACAGTTCTACAGGCTTGTAGAGCATTCTATTTTCCTAATGTATCTAGAGATTTTAAAAATTTTAAACTGCTTAACTTTAAGGAAAAAAAATATTTTTTCATAGGTTGTCTTATTAGCCACCATCTTGCCCATGCATCTTAAAAATAATTAACATGTTCCAAGATTTTGCGTGAAAGAATGTTTGTTTCACGCACTGATCCATGTTTTGCAAATTGTTTGTATGTATAGTGTGACTGGAGTTGCTTTTCCTGTTTGCTAAATGAATGGGGGTGTTAACCAATCTTTAGGAAATCCAACTTTTTAATAAACTTTGATGATTGTAAATGCATAAAGAAGTATGCATACACCTTAACAAATAACACTGTTCTATACTTAAAATACTTTTTTGTGTAACCAAACAGCCAAAATAAGCTCCCTAAGTAATAATCAGACAAAATACACTAATTTTAATCTGAAATAAAAATTATTTTGACATTATTTCAAATTTTTAGCTAGAAAAATAAACTTTAGATATTTTTTTTTCTGTTAGTTAAAAAAAAATCTACACCATATCACAAAAGGACAGATAACTCTTGCCCACCATCTATGCCTTACAGATGTATTATCCTACGACATTATCTATATATACATTTATATTTAATTATATATTAATGATTTGGTATAACCCTTTGATTTGAGTACCTTTTATACTGCACTTGTATATTGCATTCACATAAACTATGTTACTGTAAACCATTTTGTAAACAATTTCTTATTTTGTATAAAATTAAGGATTTAATTTGTGTTACTGTTTGTAATGTGAAATAAACAGATATTACTTGGGATATGATCAAATTATAAATAAGACAATAATTTGTAATTAATAGCATTGTTATATAATTTTAACATAGGGTCTAAAATATTTGTTTTTAAAACTTTATACAGTCCAGTTTGTAGGTGAAAATATAAGTTACTGGTATTTGAATATTTTTTTTTTAATTTAAAAATAAAATTATTCCTTACCTTAAGATAAAATAAAATGTTTAGTAAATGAGGTAGACTTGTGACTTACTGAATGCCTTTAATTTTATACCTGAATGTTATCGTATTTATTATGTTTCATTCCTCTTTCCTGGGTATGAACTCTCCTTTCTGAAGAAAGCAGGTTCCTCAAAGCCTCCCTGTTACCCTGGTAACAAAGCTGTTACCGCGGTAATGGCTGGCACAACTTGCCAACTACCATTGTGATTATTTTTGTTGTTGTTTTTTTTTCATTGTCATTACCCATATGCTGTACAAACTACTTTTCAACACTGAAACCTATGATTCGACCAATCAAATTGCTCTTGTTTTTTTTTTTCTCAATGCTGACCAATGAATATAAATATTTATGTATCTGTGATGCTGATTGGTTGTTAAATAAATACAATGTGTGACAGCTACAAACACTCTGGCGTGAGAAATTGTTTTCATGTGTTGTTTTTTTTTTTTTTTTTTTTTGGTCACATTTTTATGATGTAAATTTAACGCATTGTGACAGCCCTCCCCCCTTCACCCTCCTGCCTATTCATTTTTAAAAGCCACTTTTTCATATTGAACATTTTTTCACACTTAAAAGTTTCATAAAAGTATGAGCCCATGTATGTTTTGCTAAATTTATTTCTCTTTAACTAACATCCTCTGTTACAGTTTTTTCATCAAAAGTAAAGTAAAAGTAAAGCAAAAACCATTTTTCAAAAACAAACTGTATGCAAAAAATATAATTAATAAAATTTCTTTTCCTTTGCATTTTTTTAAAAATACTTCCTACAAATTAGAAAGTTGAAGAAAAAACTGTAAATCATTTTGTGGTAATAGATTTTTATGTTTAAAGATCGATTGGTAACAGTAAGTAACCCTATGCCTTCATAAAAGAAAGGCTTAGGAAAATCATAAGCTCAAAGCATTTATTGCCTAATTTTAAAATAAATGTTAACTATTGAATAATGCAAGAATCAACTTTTTTTTTCATTTAATAATTCTCTAAATCTTCAGTTTTATTTCTCATTTTAAGTTATCCAAAATTGTAGTTTAAAATTATTTTCGAATGTTTCTATGAAAAAAAACTTTTTTCCTGCCTAATTTAAAAAACCATATGTACAGTCGCACTTTAATTAAATTTTTATTTAACTTTCATAGGAATTTATTAACCATGTAAACACTTTATGAAAACAATTTTCTGAATGTACATAAATGTAAATTGCACAGCTTGTAAAATTATTAAAATGATGTTATATTAAATGCAGTTGTAACTATTCTGATGCTAGAAAGTGTGGTGCAAATCATCAGCAGAAAGTGATTGATAACTTTATTATGGATTACTTTCTTTTTTTTTTCTTAACTTAAGTGAAAAGTAATTTTTGTTTGTACTTTAAACTTATGTAAGCAGTTGATTGGTATCAATTAGCATATCAACTTGCAACAAATTAACATATCACTTTGAATTATGCCTAGGACTTTATAATTATAACATTTCATGTTGCTATATACATATCCAGAAATAGCTTAATTGAATTAAAAAATTATTTTATAACTTTGCTAAATGTTTTTCTTAAAAAATATTTTGATTAACTTAAGCCACGAAATTTAAATTTTTAATAAAAAAAATAATTTTTAAATCTAAGATTTAATCACTAGCAAACAGCTTTGTGTGTATGTGTTTGTCTTTAAAAGTGCCGATAGCTAAATGAGGTATGCAAACGCATAATACAGGGTTACAAAAACAGTTTGTATGGTTGGCACTCGTGTATATTCAAATTGTAATCTTTGAAAACACAAACACAAATTTGTAACTTATTGTTGGCTTGTTTTTTTTTTTTAAGGGATGAATGAGTACTTGATTCTGTAAACTGTTGTCCCGCTTTGCTAAATATAATATCTGTTACTACCAATAAGTTGTACCTTACATTTTTGTAACTATTCTTGTATTTTTTTTTATATTTAAAGTGTTAACATCTGATTACTTATGCAGTCAACTAAAAATGATAGAATTGAAAACAATTTATTATTAGATGAAAAGTAATTTAGTATTAAGTTTAAAGCATATATTAATAAACTTTTTTTTTTAATTTAATTAATTACAAAATCAGAAAAAGCTTACTAAACTATAATAAAGTGGGTTTTTTTTATATAGTGGATATATAGTGAAAAGCTATATTTGTTATTTTGAAACAAAAATTCTGAGTTAAAATTTTTATTTTGATAATTTATCAATTATATTTGATTATAATTTTTAAACTGCAAGTTGCTTAATAAATTGAACATTATTTATTGATAATTATTTTGTGTGCGCTGATATTTTTATAACAGGAAACAGAAGTTCATGCCATTGACGCGTGTGGAAGGATTTTGTGATTGCTGACAATGTTGAATGTTACAAAGTCTTTAAAATTTTATAACAACATAATTTTTGTAAATGATTTGTAAGTGTAGGCGCTACACTTCAAGAAATAATAATAAAAAAACTATTTAAAAAAATGTCTATGGAAATTTTTCTTCTATTTTCATGTCCAATTTTTGTTGAACATGTATAAATTATGTTGGACTGAGTGTAGATACTAGTTCAATGAATTACTAGATAGGTTATTCAATGTTTGGTTAGCCTATACTATTGTTATCAAGACAGAGAACTCTGTCTGCCTTGAAAAGGGAAGTAACCACATACAACCCAGTGAATTCAAGTCCAAAATGACACTAACTTTCTAATGTGTGGAAGGAACAAGACAGTAACTACTAAACTGCCCGTAGATCAAGCTTCTCATTTATCATGAGTTAGTTACTGACCACTTAGGGCTATATTGTTGACTGGTTAGAGCTGTAATCTTAACCAATGTGGCCTATACTTGTAAACAGTTTGGGCTATAATGTTGTCCAATAAGGGGTATATTGTTGACTAAAGTGGGCTTAATGTTGTCCAGTAGTAGTATAGTGTGAACCAGTAATGGCTATAATTTTGACCAGAAAGGGCTTTAATATTGATTAAAAAAGACTAAATCTTGACCAAAAGAGAAATTCTCACTAGTAATGTCGTCAAAATTAGTTCTATTTGGATTATTAAAAATTTATTTTCAAACAAGACAATACCTGATAAATTAAATAAGTAATAGAATTTTTTTTTGGAACAAAATTATGTTAATCTAAGTTCATGCCATTATACCATATAAAAGTTCTAAAAAAATGTCTAATACCACAGTAACAGTTAAAACATTGATGGTGTGGTCAAAAATTCAATAGAAATTACAAGACACAGAACTGATATAAGGGCCACTGAAGCATGACTTTATAGGAAGAAACATTTTCAGCTATAAACAGTGTTTCTTCCAGACTTTTTTCTCCGGGGGGGGGGGGGGGGGGCACTTGAAATTTTCGGGGGGTAGTCAACATTAGTAAAAATGTATGTTTACAATATAAAATCCATCTCGTTCGAAGAGATGCCTGGAAGAAACTCTGACTATAAAAGGAGGTCTAGTTTGAACCCGGGGTAGATGAGGCCCAATAGCTGGGTACAGCCACTCTTCTAGGAGAGACAACTCCAAAATCAAACAACTGCTGTCATGTAGTTTGTTCTTGTTTGGACAAAGGCTATGGAAGCAAATCTAAAAAGAAAAGCAGGCTGAAATTGAAGTAAACAGCCTATATGGCGCATAACATGTTGACACGTGATACTTAATTGTTTTGGAGGGAACCTCTTTCAACACTAGAATTAAAACAAAGAAGAAGAAGAAGCTATGAAGGAACAACCTGATGCCTTGATCCATCTCAAGAACATCCTATCTTCTAGAGGGCTGGAACTGATGTCACAGATCTAACTTTCTAA